ATAGAGTGACACTAGTCCCAATTTCTCTCATATTTCTTTCTACAAAGAAAAAATGAAGCAGTCAAATAGTTAGATAAGTAAGTTATATATTTGTACTTTATTAATATACTATATAATAATTATAATAATACAAATAAATAACAATAATAATAATAACAGTACAAATATTATAATATTGTACTATTACATTATATTAAAAATATATTATATTATAAATAATATATTATACAAATATATTATACCTAACACACAGAGTATGACACTAGTCCCAATTTCTATCATATTTCTTTCTACAAAGAAAAAAAAAATGAAGCAATCGAACGGTTAGATAAGTAAGTTACATCTATACTTTAAGTAGAAACATAAAATATAACAAGTCACCTTGTATGTACTTATTTAGAAGATGCATTCGATATGCACATAGAAACGATTCGTGTTTCTATTTATCACATCAGTGCAGAGGAGTTGCAATAGCTGCCAACTTCCTCAATTTTTTTTTACCTCCTCCTCCTCCTCCTCCACCACCACCTTCTCCACCTTCATTTGAACTTTTCAAAGAGTTCCTCCCCTCTTTTCTCCACCTCCTCTTTCTCCTTCACCTCCTCCACTACTTCTTCATCATCAACGATCATTTATTCGTTCTTTCGTTGGTCGTAGTTCTTCTACTAGTGTTCCCCTTTTATAGAGCTAAAAGAAAGGAATTTCTTCCTGCAAGCTAATGCACCGTGCTAATTGGCAAATTTACGGAGAAACTACTGCAACGAGGAATGATCGCTTGCTTATCCGATCCCGATAAGGCTGAAATAAAACATTCCTTCTTTTTTCTTCCCTTATCGTCATCGTCATCCCCCTCCTACTCCTTATCCCCCCATCCCCTTGCCCCCCTTACCGTTTCAGCCACCCCCCACCCAACTAACTGTGATTAAACTTCTCTTTAAGTATTTTTATTCCCTTTTTTTTTCTTCTTCTTTCTTTCTTCTTTTTATTATCTCTTTTCATTTTTCTTGGCAGATCTTAGAAAACCGATTGGAACAGGAACAAAACTTGTTCCAGAATAATCGAGAACATTTAAAATGGGTCATAGTAATTATATAAAAAAGTGTGCCAAAAGTATTCCCCTAAGTGATTTGAATAGTTTCATTATTTTTTTTGTTAGTTTTGTGCTTTTCTTTAGGAGAGAGAGAGAGAGAGAGAGAGAGAAAGAGAAGTAGTGTTTTGCAATTAAATAATTAAGGCAAGTCAGACACAATCAGAAGAAAAAAAAGAAGATATAATTAGTCTAGAAAGTTTTAAAAAAAGTGTAATAGATTTTTAAAATTATTTAGAGACACTTTTATAACACATCCTATAATATAAATAATATAAATATA